GGAAGCATCCGAAAATCACTGTGGAATTTTCAAGTGATGCACACTCTGGCAGGAGCAAAAGGCCAAATCCACCCGACTCTATAAATGATGTTGAGTTAGTGCTTTCTTCAAAATATTTGTTTTTAATGTTACTTAAAGCTTTATATTATAAACTTCTGAAACCACTTTTGGTTTTCACTGTTCAAAAATTAGTTAAAAACCGTTTTTTCTTAACAATATTATAAGATTATTTTTAGTAGTGGATTTATGAATTCTTCCTATGAGGATGGCCAGGACCGTGATGCATATTCAGAGCCGAAAACTGTAAGGCCAGAAGGAGGATACATACGTCAAAGTGCAAGAAAGCACAGAGTCAAATCGAGCCATTTAGTAGGCTTTTTAGTCAGTAAAGTGGCAGTTTATTTTATCTCACTGACGTTTGAAAAATCAAGTATTATTAGTGGCATTTTGCAAATTGCATTATAATGAAGTTGTAACAAACCTTTGAAAAAACTTCTTGTTTACAGAAGGCTGCAGAAAACTTTCGGCCAGATATATCTAATCCTGACCTCAGTAGCAGAGAGAGGTCGCCAAGAAATGGTACAAATAAAGAACAGCTGTGTGAGTCTCAACTTTTTTCGCGTCTTTGAAATTTGCGTACCTACTTCATTTGTAATAAAACTGACGGTTTTTGTAAGTAGAAATGGAATATTTTCAGACAATTTTAAAACTGACTTTCTCGGCGACGACTGGAACGAGTATGAAGACCCTTATTCTCGGCCACGAGTTCGGTCTGGAAGTGTTCGAAGTTTTAAAATGCCGACCACTCAGAATGTTCGAAGAATGCTTTCTCATGAACACGTAAGGAATGAAGTTTTTTTAGACAAATTTATGCAGATTTTTTAATTTTTCTTCGAAATTTTAATGTCTAAATTTTATAAAATTTACATTCTTTCAGTTGGCAACTAATTGTCTAGTTGACGAGAGAGGATCTAGACAACGTTCCTCCATAAATAACCTCACATCTCTTGTATCTTTCGATCCAAAAAGCAACACATTAATTCGAGTTCGTGAACACATTGGTGACCAATCAGACGATGAGTATGATGACAAACCGATCGACTTATCCGAAAAATCATTTCCTTCTGACGTGAGGATTTCTAACAACCATAACATAATATAATATAGTATAATGTAGTATAATATAATATAGTGTAA